CGTGATGGGTTTCCATATGTGCCAGACACCTGGCTGACAAAACAACATCTCTGCCTCCACCCAAGTCTCCAGGACGAGGGCTGCTCTGACAACTCCCGACCGGACATCACGTCTTCTCCAACTCAATGTTGACCAAACTGAACCACAGCTCTCATCAGTACCACCAGCTCAGCCGCTGACTGTATCCACCTCGCAGTTGCTCACTCCAACTCACAGAGCCTGTGTTGAACCTCAGTGCTTTGTTCAACCCTTAACGTTTAGATAATTGTTTGGGGAGGACAATTGCAGGGCTATGGGGAGAGAGCGGGGAGTGGGATTAATCCGGAAGCTGTTTTCAAAGAGCCGGCACAGACACGATGGGCCAAATGGCCTCCTTCTGTGCTGTATTTCAGCACCTTGGGACGTCCTCCTGACGTGAAAGGCGCTTTATAAATGGAATCTTGTTGTTGTATTTCTATGATTCTATGTACTCTCCTTTAACAACAACAACAAATGACACTTGTCTAGCGCCCTTCATGTCGGAAAGATGTCGGAAAGAAGGTGGCTGGGAGTGGGAGGGTGGCTGGGTGGCTTCAGACGGGATTTGAAGGAAGCAAGAGAGGGGGTGAGGCAGAGGGATTGCGGGATAGAGTTCCAGAGTGTGGGAGCAGAAATGCGGAATGCCCGACTGCCAATGGTGGGGCGGGAAGTGCAGGAGACCTGAAGCAGCCGTTGTCTGCCAAGTGGAGAGAACAGACATGCTGATGTGGGGTTATGAGGTTGGAGAGGTGGGTGAGGGAGCAAAACCATGGAGGGCGTTGAAGGTATGAACAAGGATTTTGAACTTAATTCTCTGAGGAACGGGAGGCCAGTGAAGCCGGGCTAGAACGTGGGCGATAGGTTTGTATCTTGTAGCTTGTGAAGAGAAGAGTTGGGAAGTCCAGTGAGCAGGCAGTTGGCAGTTTAAGCCTTTCATCCACAGTAACCCATTCTCCCCCCACACCCCCACCACCACCCTCAACCAACGGCACTGGCTCCCTATCCCACTGCACATAAATGTTTCAATTCTCATCCTCACCCTAAAATACCTCCATGAACTTGCCACCCTGACCTTTACAATCTTCGACTCCCCAGCCTCTCCCTCTGTTACCCCAATTCTGGCCTGCTCCAATACCCCCCGACCCACCACCTTCAGTGTGTGAGCTCTCATACACCTTGCTCTCCCTCTAAAATTCAACTCTACTTTGCCTTCAAGAACCTCCTATCTTCCTTCCAACTCAGGATCGTCTTGTCTTTCTAAAGAGTTTGAGACGTTCTCCCTATGTAAAAAGCAGTTCACACAGTGCAAATTGTTGCTCTTCGTAGAGCCATAAAATCAGGAATGAAAAGATTTGTTTGTTAAAATTGAATATTTTCTTGATAATGTGGCTTAGCACCAAACAGTGCAAACTTGAGCAGAGCTCCGCTTTACAATGGCTCTGTCTATGGTTATACCCTCCCCTGCCGTGCTGAATATGACAGAATTGTTAAACTGAAGGGCCAGTAACAGTCTCACAAACCCACACAGACGCTGCTACACTTGGCAATTATTGCGCTTTTGGAGCACAGAGGAATGAGTACTGCAACCAGTAAAAGACTGTAAACTTTATTTGTCTTTGCTGTTGATATGACATCTTATCACATCATCAAAGCATCTCAATGTGCTTCACAACATTTACTGTAAGCTTGCAAGCAACTGAGTATTTCTAGATGAATCAAGTAGAAAACAGCACTATGTAATTGTACAGTTTTCGGGAAAAAAATAGGAACAGGAAGAGGCCATTCAGCCCAGTAAGCTCTCTCCACCACATGAATAGATCTTGCTGGATTTTATAATCCCAATAATGGAATTTATAATCGCAATTGCCGTGTTTTGCTCACAACATACACAGTCACTATTTACAGTATGTCCTGTGAAGCGCTTTGAGATGTCTCAACGTGAAAAAGTGCTATATCAAATGCAAAAATTATTATTATTAATGTCCTGACCTCTTACCCCTGAATACCTTGCCTTATATGTGTAAGTTTCCTCAGCAAGTGAAAGGAACTCCCAAACTCTCTGAGTAACAATCTGTTTAGAAGGTTGCCAGTCAATGAACAGGTCACTGCAATTCTTTAAGTGTCCGACTTCAAACTAACAGTTCAGCAAAGGTTAGATTCTCTTCAGCTGATCTCTGCACCTGTTTTCTCACCTCTCGTAAATTTCAGATCTATTTGAAGTATTTTCTGGTTTCCATGTTATCCTGGAATCAGAATGAGAAGTGTTTTCTCTTCCTCCTGCATTGACAATTTTCAGAAAATGCCTCCCTCTGTAGACCCTTTCCCTTCGCCTATCCCTTAGTGCTTAGTTCTGGACTTCACAAATGGCCCTGCATGCCCAACAGCCAGCTCTAAAACATCGAGGTGCTGGCTGTAAAGGTCCTCACTGAAGATGTCCATCATCGGACACTGATGAGGAAACTCTGAGGCTTGAGACAACAGCTGTTGAAGGTATTCACCTGGAGTCTGGGATTTTGAACATACCTTATGTATCCAGGGCTTGGAATCCACCTTAATTTGGTATATTAATAATAATTATTATTTCATTTGATATATCGCCTTTCACGGGCAAGGCGGGTGACATGAAGCAGGCTCCGGCCACCCTGCCTCACCCACCCCACCATTGGCAGGCAGACATCCAGCCACTCTGTACCCACCCTCTAGAACTCCATCCCGCAGTACTTCTGCCTTGCCCCTCCCTTGCCTCCTTCAAGATCCATCTCAAGACCCTCCTCTTCGCCCATGCTTTCGATCTCCCTGCTTCACCCCCTGCCCTCCACCTCCACCCTCCGCAATCCCAACCCCCAGCTCAGGTCCAAAACTCTGATTGTCCAGTGCCTTGGAATGTCCTCCCGACGTGAAAGGCACTATACACATGTAATTTTTGCTGCTGTTGTTTCACGTCAGGAGGATGTCACAAGGCAGTTCGCAGTATCTCCTGTGAAGTGATGAATGTGTGTTTTGTGGGCAAATGTGACAGCAACAACAAACAAGCTGTAAAGTGAATGACCTGTTTTATTTGGTGGATTGTTCACCAGTACACTGACTAAAATGCTGCTCTCTTTTTGTATAGTAATCAGAGAGGTAAGCAGCTGCTGCTCAATCTCCGCACCTCCAACTGATGGAGTCATCAACATTTTCATGCTGAGTTGAGTTGCTCCCCGGTAGCTGCCATCCACCCCACTTCTGCAATCTCCTGCAATCCTACTGCCTTGACTGCTTTGTCATAGAACAGCACAAAAGGAGGCCATTCGGCCCATTGTGTCTGTGCTGGTACTTTGAAAAGAGCTTCCAAATCAATCCCACTTCCTCGCGCTCTCCCCAAAGCTCTACGTATTTGTCTTGCAGTCTGCTACTATCCTTCTCACTGTTTACTACCTTTCCTGGCTTGGAAATTGTCCTCCCTATACCCCAGTCCAGGTCATTTATATAGATCATAAACAGCAGTGGTCCCAATACCGACCCCTGGGGGTCACCACTGCACTTCCCTCCAGTCAGAAAAACAACCGTTCACCACCACTCTCTGCTTTTTGTCTCCCAGTTCTGTACCCGCTGCCACTGTCCTTTTAATACTTCTATTTTGCTTATGAATCTCTTTATGTCCATATAAACGACATCAACTGCACTGCCTTCATCCACCCTCTCTGTTACTGCATCAAAAAACTCCATCAGGTTTGTTAGACATGATTTGTGTTTAACAAATTCATCTTGGCTGCCCATTACTAACCCATTATAACCCATTATAACCTATTACTAACCCATTACTAACCTATTATAACTCGTTACTAACCCATTATAACCCATTACCAACCCATTATAACCCATTACTAACCCATTATAACCCATTACTAACGCATTATAACCCATTACTAACCTGTTATAACCCATTACTAACCCATTATAACCCATTACTAACCCATTATAACCCATTACTAACCCATTATAACCAATTACTAACCCATTATAACCTATTATAACCCATTACTAACCCATTATAACCCATTATAACTCATTGCTAACCCATTATAACCATTATAACCCATTACTAACCCATTATAATCCATTACTAACCCACTATAACCCATTATAACCTATTATAACCCATTACTAACCCACTATAACCCATTACTAACCCACTATAACCCATTACTAACCCATTATAACCCATTACTAACCCATTACAACCTATTATAACCAATTACTAACCCATTATAACCCATTACTAACCCATTATAACCTATTACTAACCCATTACTAAACTATTATAACCCATTACTAACCCATTATAAACCATTATAACCCTTTACTAACCCATTACAACCCATTATAATCCATTACTAACCCACTATAACCCATTATAACCTATTATAACCCATTACTAACCCACTGTAACCCATTACTAACCCACTGTAACCCATTACTAACCCACTGTAACCCATTACTAACCCACTGTAACCCATTACTAACCCACTGTAACCCATTACTAACCCACTATAACCCACTGTAACCCATTACTAACCCACTGTAACCCATTACTAACCCACTGTAACCCATTACTAACCCACTATAACCCACTGTAACCCATTACTAACCCACTGTAACCCATTACTAACCCACTGTAACCCATTACTAACCCACTGTAACCCATTACTAACCCACTGTAACCCATTACTAACCCACTGTAACCCATTACTAACCCACTGTAACCCATTACTAACCCACTATAACCCACTGTAACCCATTACTAACCCACTGTAACCCATTACTAACCCACTATAACCCACTGTAACCCATTACTAACCCACTATAACCCACTGTAACCCATTACTAACCCGCGCTGTGTTGGGGGCAGTGGAGCCGCTGCGATCCCATGTTGTTGTCTGTGAGGCCGCGCTGTGATTGGTCGCCCCAGCGCCGCTGGTCGCCGCTCGGCCAATGGGAAGCCGGGATGGTGGGAGGTGGTGGGCGGCGGGAGACGTTGTGGAAGATGGCGGCCGTGGCGCTGAGGGCGACCGTTCGGGCGGCGAGTAAACGGCGACTGATGCCGTCCAGAGCCGCGCTGCTGCTGGTGAGGAGGCCGAGCAGGGGCGCGGGGCCCTGAGGCGGGGCGCGGGCTCCGGGAGGCCCGCGGGGGCAGCAGCGCGACCTCAGCGGGGAAGGGCACAGGTCAGGGCCGGGGTCAGGGTCAGGGCCGCTGTTGTGGCCACAACAGTCTGTCCGGGAGGCGGCGCGGAGGGAAGCCATTGTTATAAGATATAACTCGCTTGTTTACCACGTCTGGGAACGTGCAGTGATTCAGTGACCTTCACAGACTCTCTGTGCCTCACACACAGTCACACACACAGTCTCACACACACACAGTCACACACACACACACACACACAACACAGTCACACACACACAGTCTCATACACACACACACAGTCACACACAGTCTCACACACACACAGTCACTCACACACACACAGTCACTCACACACACAGTCACACACACACACAGTCACTCACACACACACACACACACACAACACAGTCACACACACACAGTCTCATACACACACACACAGTCACACACAGTCTCACACACACACAGTCACTCACACACACAGTCACACACACAGTCACACACAGTCACACACACACAACACAGTCACACACACACAGTCTCATACACACACACACACAGTCACACAAACACAGTCTCACACACACAACACAATCTCACATACACACAGTCACACACACAACACAGTCAAATACACACAGTCACACACACAACAGTCACATACATACACAGTCTCACACACACACACCCACAGTCTCACACACACAACACAATCACATACACACACAGTCTCACACACACAACACAGTCACACACACACACAGTCACATACACACACACACACACACACAGTCTCACACACACACAATCTCACATACACACACAGTCACACACACACAACAGTCACATACATACACAGTCATACACACACGACACAGTCACATACACACACAGTCACATACACACACAGTCTCACACAGAGTCACATACACACAGTCACACACACACAGTCATATACACACACTGTCTCACACACACACACACACAGTCACACACACAACACAGTCACACACACACACAGTCACACGCACACAACACAGTCACAAACACACACAGTCACATACACACACACAACACAGTCACATACACACACACACAGTCACACCACACAGTAACACACACACAACACAGTCACATACACACACACAATCACATACACAGACAGTCTCACACACACAACACAGTCACACACACACACACAGTCACATACACACACACAGTCTCACACACACACACAGTCACACACACACAGTCTCACACACACACAGTCACACACACACAACAGTCACATACACACACAATCACACACACACACAACACAGTCACACACACACAACAGTCACATACACACACAGTCACACACACACAACACAGTCACACACACACACACAGTCATATACACACACAGTCACACACACACACACAGTCTCACACACACAGTCTCACACACACAGTCTCACATACACACACAGTCACACACACACAACACAGTCACATACACACACAGTCTCACACACACACAACAGTCACATACATACAGTCACACACACACAACACAGTCACATACACACAGTCACACACACACAGTCTCACAGAGTCACATACACACAGTCACACACACACACACAGTCACATACACACACACAGTCACACACACACAACACAGTCACAAACACACACAGTCACATACACACACAGTCACATACACACACACAACACAGTCACATACACACACAGTCACACACACAGTCACACACACACACCACAGTCACATACACACACACAGTCACATACACACACAGGCTGGGTCTTGGGCAGGGAGGTGACCAGGCGCTTTAAACCCAAGTGGTTCATTCAATGTAGAGAAGTGTCAACCAAAAATGGTTAGGGTACACTGCATTGTTGGAGGTGCCGACCTTTGAATGGGACATTAAATCGAAGTTCCTGTTAAAGTTCCCTTGGCACTACTCAGAATTTCTCCCAATGTCCTGGCCAAAAATCCACCAGATTAGTCATTCACTTCATGGCTATCTGTGGGTAATTCCTGTGTGCTCGCTTACAAATACAGTCACTACATTTTACTGTAAATAGGATGAATTGCTTTTGAGATGTTCTCAGAATGAAAGACGCAATTTTGTACTTTTATTTTGTAAAGGTTATTTATTTTGTATCTTTATATTTTCAGACACCGTCTGCTGTCAACAGATTGAAAATGCTCCTGAATGATAAACCTGGATGTGTTCGTAATATTTTTTCACTGTTTTTTCTTGCGTCAAAGATGAATTATTTTAGAGGATGTTTACAAAGTAGTAATATAGTAAAAAGTAAATGTAGAAAAGTATAGTCGGGGTGGTAGCAACTAAATCATGTCAACTCTTTCGGATCTTGTGTTGTTACGATGAAGTCGTCACCAATGTGAAACTTTCAGGCACGCAATCTTCCTTGGTCAGGTACAAGCAACAGCTGGTTACAGAGTAAAGTGTGTGAAACAATAGTCCTGTTGTCAGAGTGGGTAACTGCAGGACATCTGTTGGACGATTGCTTCTAGTGATCGGATGGAATCCAATTTGCAACTCCAGAGTTCTTATTAAGAAATTCTATTTGAAGTTGCAGCTTGTGTGTACACACTACACATGTGTACGTGAATGTTAACCATTGAGGAGTCCTGACACCAGCCAGAGTCAATTCGGAGAGAGAAATCCAGTTTATTGCTGAGTTAAGGACACAGTTTTTTTGTGAGGCCATAGGATCTGGTTTGTGTCTGTGCTGAACTGTTACACAGCATCCTCGCAGCAAGCAGTACAGTGGGTCTGAGCTGAATTTGTTAAAGAAGTATGCAGACAATGGATGCTTTTACTTGTGGCGTAAAGCCTATGGACAGTAAGGCTACGTTGTTAGTTTTCCTCAAAAGTTATTTCCATTCAGAGGAAGGCAGACAGCAACCGAGGAAGGCAGACTGAATCTGCACTGACAAAGCCTTAATGCAGTTAACATTTTTTCCCTTTCTTGATTCTCCAGATTGGTTTAAAGGTTGGAGTTCGGACTCGTGGTTGCAATGGCCTCTCCTACGTCATCGATTATGCCAAAGAGAAGGGAATATTTGACGAGGAAGTAAACCAAGATGGTAAGGAATATTCCTGAGCTGTGAGGCACGGTTAGCAATTTGTAGGTCAAAACATTTCAAACCTTTTTTTAAGTCTTGAAAACCACGGGAATATTTAGAGACAATTCTTTTATTGGGTAAACGTGAGTTTGGGGCTTGGCTTTCCCAGCGTTGGTTCAAGGCTGACCTGATGTACAGTCTCAGAGCTTTTTGACTCCCAAGTGGAATTTTGACTTTTTAACTTCATCAGAGTGGAAGATCACTGATATAGTGCTAAGCTATTTTACAGTTAGAGGAAGGCCTTTTAATAATTACTATGGTTTCTTTCTCCCTGATATATAACAACTACTTGCATTTTTTTACAACAACTTGCATTTGTATAGCGCCACTCACAGGGTAGTATCTCGTAGCCCTCGACGGTTGGTGGAGCACAACAATGAGTCGGGGGGAGGAAAGTCGTTAGGTGCGACCTGAAGATGGGGAAGGAAGGGACGAAGTGGAGGGAGGGAGGAAGAGCGTTCCAGAGTTTCGGGGCGTAGTGGCTGAAAGTCCGGCCACGGATGGTGGAACGAAGGACAAGAGGGACATACAGGAGGCCGGAGCCAGTCGAGCGGAGGCAGCGAGTAATGCGTTCAGAATATATTCATCAGTTTCTTTGCTTTGCAGGTGTGCGTGTGTTTATTGACCAGAAGGCACAGCTCACTTTGCTGGGAACGGAAATGGATTTTATTGAAACAAAACTTTCCACTGAATTTATTTTCAATAACCCGAACATTAAAGGAACGTGTGGATGTGGCGAAAGCTTCACTATATGAACATTGCCTTTCCGGGTGCAGAGTATGTGAAACTACAGAATGCAAACAGTACTTGGCATTTGAACTTTGTGAGATTTTTAAAAAAGTCTACATGTGGAGACACTGTAACCCTGCAAGGAAACAATTCCACTTTAAATATTTTTAACTCCTACTTAGAAAAACATCAAGGGGCCCCAGAGGGAGAACAAGGAGAACAAGTGTCAGTTCCTGACCCATGTTTGTGATGAACACTAGTGAATTGTCATTTCCTTGATATTTCTCACGCTGGTTAAAAGCAAGATGTTGAAATGCTCCTTATGTGTTCTTTACAGAGCTGGAATAGATTTTCCTCAAATCAGATGTTGGTGCTACCTCTGGTAGCATTTGCCTTCCTGAATCACGCACAATTCACCAATCCCAAGCATTTTAAAATGATTCTGGGGAAGGGATTTTGGTAATTATCAAAGAAAAAAAATAAGAATTTGGTCACTCAATCCACGACTGTTTGTGGGACACTGCTGTGCGCAATTGGCTGCTGGATTTCGCGCACAAAATATTAATTTTACAGTATATTCTGTGAAGCGCTTTGAGACGTCTTGAAGACTTGAAAAGACGCTGTATCAAATGCAAGGCTTATTATCCAGCAAGCATTAAGGGTCTTGGTGGAGCGGTCTCTGGTCTAAAATAGGTGAAGTAAAATATTCCTATCAATTTAAAATGTAAACTACCCTATATATAATGCAATGAAAGGTGATCCTGGTTTGTCAGATAAAAACAAGACACATTCTGTTTATCTCTAATATCAGCAAATTGAGTTAAGTGAAAATAAGTTCCACATGCTAAAACTTGCAATAAGCTACAAGTTTTTAAATAATTTGTGAAGCTCCCCGTTCGGCTGGGAAATGGGAGCATCACCAAGCCATTCAGCCCAGCCCATGTCAGCTTCCATCCTGGGCCTGTGTAGAGTGAGGTAATCTCAGCTGAGTGTGATAGCAACAGTGTCCCAGAGCAAACGAAGGGAGGGGATGACATTAGCCACTACTGTCCACTAGGTATCGGGAATAGAATGTGTGTGAATGTTGGTTGGGGTTGAAAACGGGATCAGACTCCAAATTGACAGTCTAGACTTGTCACATGAATAGCTGAGGTACCAGAGTCTGCAGGTACCAGCAGTCATTCTGGCTTGGGAGAGCAGGGGAAGGTATTGGGGCTCTATAAACTGACCAGTGCATTATGTAAGTACATTGACTGTAAGCCTGATTATTATTCCACTCTCTGGAGTTTCTATTGATGCTAAACATTTTACAATATATGAAGTAAAATAAAGTTCTGCATTCAGAGTTTTTAAATTGTTCCATTTTTCTCACATAAGAAATGAGGAAGAAGACTCCCTGGAACTTAAACCAGGAAAACACAACAATACTGCAGAAAAGTTTATTCACACAACACACGTACACATACACAGAGACTTCAATATGACATTCTGAGAAGTTGAACATCACGGCACTTATGAAACAAATAATTGAGCAAGGAAGTATGATTTAGTATTTCTGTTCTGAATCTCCTTGATCACGGCATCAGAAGTAGAACATGCAGGTATTCAGTAAAACATTTAGCCCTTTTCATCAGAATTTTCACATAAGCATATGTTTATGTTTCACCAAGGAGAACATTACTCACAGCTGCTTAAATGTCAGTCAAATAGCTTGTGATTACTGTTGACTCCTTTGTGAAAAACAGAATTTGTACAACTGCAACAAATTTAAGAGAGATTGAATTTGAAGCACATAAACCCCATGATGGCTGCAATGAAAGGAATACAGAGCACACAATTTGACAACTTGAGGTATTGATGGTGCTCAACACCCCGTTATTGAAATGTTGGCCACTTTGGTGAGATACAGGAGGGTGACAGCAACTGTGGACGTGTTGTCCGAGACTCCCTTCAGGAGCAAAATACACGCTTAAGGATAGGCAAGTGCTAACACATTCCATCAACCCTATGGGGAACGTTGGTTAAGACCCTGTCGATCCACAGACATTACATTCTTGAACTATACGTCATTGTGGGCAAGTAGCTTTCACTGGTTCATTTGGTAAAACTTGCCCTTATATTTACATGATGGTAGAGAAGTGCAATATGTATTTTTGCAATAACAGCACCACAATAATCAACATTGACGCTAGTTACCAACGTTAAGTCCAAGCACCATGGTTTAAGGACCACCTTAGTAGGGATCTAGAGCAGGCTAACTGGAGATTCAGTGTCTTAAAGACAGCACCAAGACTTTGTGTAAGATATAAACATTTGTCTGTGAACAATGATCCCCTAGATAATGCTGTGTTACCAATTTCATAAGTGATACAATTGCCTTGGGCGGGGCAGGGAGCTAACTTTCCCAGCAAAGAATTTTCTTTCAAAAATAATCACTTTTCAGAAACTGCAGCCGCTGTTTTACATTCACTCTAATTACCTTTTTAAATATGAAAGTAAAATTCAAATCATTAACTTTTATTGTTGTGGTTTACTAATCCTCACATAGCCCAATCCCCATCTTTATCATCTACAATTAAAAAAGATTTTAAGTTTCCGATACAAGACTGAAATGTTGCTTTAATTTACAAAATCAATCTGAATGATCCCCTTCAGAACAGTTTAGAATTTCTTTGCTAAAGGGGCCACAAAACTGCCAGGCCTCCTCCACGGGGATGGAGACTGATAGTTACCACTTGTGAGGCCCAGGAATAGCCTCTGACTCTCCACAAGACACACAAACTGGGAAAAAAACAGGTAATAATTTGAAAAAATAAAACACAACAAAAACAAACAAAAGGATGTCTTGTGCAATGGATTTCTTATCTCCAACTATCAACAGTGCTGGGCATCCAGCCACATGTATTCTTGTTTAGTCAGTGATTGGTGGGTGTTTTAAAATTACTAAACTAGAACGGTTTGTGTCATGAAAGATTTTTGGTGAAGTTTCTCAGCATGATTGTGCTTAAATAGTGAAATACATCACACAGACATGCACACACACACTAACTGCAGTGTTACACTCACTCACAGATACACATACACACACACACACACACAATCAGTCTCATACACTCAGGTAATGTAACCTGGCAAAGTGATTTTTTGTGTGATTCAATTAAATGTTTAAAAATTTTACAAAATTCCAATGTGTTAAATTTTAAATAATTGGCAACCAGATTGTTAGGAATTAGTAAGAAATTGGTGGCAACTAACACACAGAAATATTCTGTTGTAATTTATTAACAATGTTTAGGAGCATGTTCAAGGCTGAAAGACACTTTGGGTGTGAGTAACATTGATAAACTGCTTCTTCAGTGTGATCTGCACTGTCTCACTCCCCTTCCCAACCATTTAGTCTTGGAATACATTCCCAGGCATCCATTATTCCATCTGCAAAATGCAGAGTAAAGAAGGTTACAATCTTTTCTGAGAAAGGGATCGAGGTGAAAGAGGTTGAGGTTGGGATTTCTGCCCCACCTGCTGCACACAATCAATGAAAGTGGGGATGGCAATGCCACCTCCATGTCCATCATTAAGTTAGTCTGAGCAGCTCCTCCCGGCCTCCGCTTTACACAACCTGCACTTCCAGCAATGGGATCTGATCTGCCATTGTACACCAGTTTTCACTGACTGATTAATAAACTTTATACAACTATCAATATTAGCAACTGACTCCAACCCACAGCTATGTACTGTATCCCCCTCCTCCCATCCTCCACCCTGAAGCTGCTGACTTGTGTGACTTGTGCTGGGACATGTCACAAGCACTGACTGCCATCTAACACAACAACAACAAATTGCATTTATATAGCTTTCATGTTGGGAGGACAAGGGACAAAATAAGACTGGAGCCATATCCTAGCACAAACCCCTTCAACCTTCATAGAATCTTACAGCACAGAAGGAGGCCATTTGGCCCATCGTACCTTTGCTGGCTGCCAATTAGTCCCACTCCCCTGCTCTTACCCCACAGCCCTGCAATTTTTTCCTTTTCAAGTACTTATCCATGTCTCTTTTGAAAGCTACTATCGAGGATATTGAGGAAAGGCAGAGAGAATAGTGGGGTTCAGACTGATACACACACAGTTCTGTTGCAGATTTCTCAAGAGACTGAGTCTTGTCGGACCAGCCACATCTGACAGCTCCAGACAGAGACTTATCCACAAATACCTGGAATCTGGAGGAAACATTTCATAGCAACAGTGTTGTAAAAGCTACAGAGAATTCAACAAAGTGAGGCTTGAGTACTGCATCTCAAACAAGGTTGATACATTCATAGTTAAAAGTATTTATGGTTCTAGACACAAAGCTAACTAATCCTAAACATTGAGAGACTAACAAATCACCTTAGCTCTTAATTTACCTCATTATTTTGTAATTAGAAGAAACACCAAAGCAAAAGAAAGAACCTTCTATGTCAGGGTCTCCACGCTCAGAGTGTGAGATGGTGGAGAGACAAACCACGTAATCCACCCTCGTGGGCTGTATGAGTGCCTAAAGCTTCTGACACCCAATCCAGGGGGAGCACGGAGAGTTACCATGCTCCCATCACCTTCGCTGTTCCAGGTAAGCAGACAACATGGGGACGGGAGGTAGAAAGTTGGTGCGTTTGTTAGTTATGTTTGTCTGACGCTTTCCGTTGAGGTCAGAACCTGTAAAAAAATAAATGACAGGAAATCTGTACAAACCCCAAGCAAATAAAGGTACAATCACGAGAATTCTCAGTACCAAAGCAGCCCCTGCAAAGGATTTGACAGATAATAGCTGGGAGCAGGGGCCAGAATGTGGTCAGTGATGGTGGCGGAGGGAACGACAGGCCTGGGTATAATAGATGTAGAACAGGTAATTACTGGGGCATCTTCCAAGGTGAGCTTTGGGAATCAACAACAACTTATGCAACATCAACAACAATTTATACAACAACTGTGAAATAATTCCTCAAGAAAAAAAANCTATAAAAATTGGTCACTTCAATCCACAACTGTTTGTGCGCAATTTGGCTGCTGCATTTCGCCCACAAATATAGTCAATTCACTTTACAGTATATTTGTGAACCGCTTTGAGACGTCTCGAAGATGCGAAAAGCGCTATGTCAAATGCAAGGATTATTATTATTATTATACAGCGCCCTTCACATGGGTAGGTCTTGGAGTGTTTGAACTTTCTACGTCAGGTCTTCTGGCATAGAGAGCGAGATGGTGAAGACAAACAGCACATGTGTCCCCACCATCTTCCTCTCTGCATCCAATACCCCTAACACACAATCCCAGGGTGAGGGCCATCATCTCTGCTGTTCTGGGTAAGCTGACAACATGGGATGAGACAGACAGAAAGACAATCATTTTTTAATGATTCATGTCAGGAGGATCTCAAAGTGCTTCATACATTAACTTGCAGCCCAGGATCTGGGAGTATGTGTGCAGGGTTGGAGGCCACTCGAGAGTATGTGGTGTGGAAGAGTGTTCGCTTGTTGTCCTTCTCTTGTTGATTACTTTATGCTTTGAGCTCTCTGTCTCCTCTTGGCTTGAAATTATCCTAACACTATGTGGACACTACTGAAGAACTCTGTTGGTAACCAGTCTCTGATGCGTCTGGGGATTAATGTTGCAAACTCCACTGGTACCTTAATAATTACTGTCATCATACAACAAGGCAGTAAAAGACCAATACTCACTCTGCGAGAATAGGTCAAGGTATTGGCACAGGGCGTGAAGCAGCAATCTCTCGTAACTGCAACACAAACAAAATGGATGATCAGACCGTTCCAACTCAACCTGCAAATCAACAGATCACCTTTACTTAAAACAGCTGCAAGTCACGACCAAGAGACGGCAGCAATGTTCCCTGTTCACCCCCACCACACGACCACAATCCCTTACACTTCCTGAACACAATGTGAGGGGATTATTTTTCACCAGGTGGTCCCTTTTGATGCCCAATTACTTTTATCCACTGTAAGTCCCGTCACAACAGCTAATGTTACAGTAAATCATACTGTGCAGTGAACACAGCCTAAACTATTTCCACCCAAGAACCACTTGTCTCATTTAACTTCTACAATCCTGGGGCCATAAAAGTCACGACACTCAACAGTAATTGCCTGTGAAATGCTGATTCCACCACAAGGTGCTAAAAGTTCTTTCTCATCTTTCAGTGTAAATGAGTTTGCTTCAGTTGGGTTGCACACCAATCTCTACAGTGGGTTCTGATTCCTTGAGAGGGATATTACCTGTTCTCCAGCATGGCTTTGTAGACAGACTGTGGGTTTGTGGCAAAGAATCCAGTCAGTTCCTCTTCAAGAAATTCCAAGGTGCCCTAAGAGAAGACCACAGTTTATAGTTAGACAATAGTCCACAGCAAGTGCATAGTTTATAGTTAAACAAGCTCAGACTCTTCAATCTTGAGAGAGGATGACACAGAGAGGATCTCACAAAGGTGCATAACATTTTAAATGGGATTGAAAAAGTAAACCCGGATCAATACTTTAGGATGTACCATGTCAGTATAGCAGTTTCAGAACAGACAGCAGGAAGTTACTCTTTATTCAGAGGGTAATTAACAGTTGGAATGGATCAGATTGACAAATGGTCTTCTTCATCCAAACAATCTTGTGATCTTGTAAATCACAGAAAATTACAACACAGAAAGAGGCTATTCAGCCTATTGAGTCTGTACCGGCTCTCAGAGCAAGCTGTACATTCAACCCCACTGTCCTGTTCTGCCGTTTTCCACAACCCTTAAAGCCTCTATCTCTTATATACCTATCTCTGTCATTCTTGAAACCCTCAATGGATACCAAATCCCAACAACTCTGTACAAACAAAATTCTCCTAAATTCTTTTCGCTCTTCTTGTGACTATCCCTGACCTTAGTCACTGACTCCAATAACTGTGGAAATAGCTTCTCCCTACTCACCCTGTCAAAAACCCTCATTCGCCCACAAAACACCATCACTACACTTTACAATATATCCTGTGAAGCACTTTGGGATGTCGTCCCAACATGAAAGAAGTTGTATCAAATATGAGGATTATTATTATTATGATTTTGTTGTTCTTATTTCTTTCAAACACAGATTGGACAGTTTTCTTTTAGGAAATAACATTATGGAATATAGATAGTTTGGAACATATGTGCATGCAACAGCAGGAAGGTGGAAGGTGAACTAGATGGACCTTGATCTTTTCTCGTCTAGCATTTCTTTTTTCTTATGTACACCTCTATCCCTTCTCACCCTCATCTGCTCCAGTGAAGATCGACTCAATTTCTCCTAATAACTGTAGCCCTTCATCCCTGGTATCGGTCGTAAATCTTTACATCCCTTCAAGGCCTTAACATGGTTACCCTCTTCATCATAGAGTACTTGGCCTCTCCCCAGCGCAGGTACTGTTCTGGACATATAGGATGAGACACAAATCCTTTTGTGCTATCACCAATCAAACCAGGAACCCGTGTGGAATCATCAATGTGACCAGTGGACTGAATGGTACAGTGAGCACATCAGGCTGAGGGCAGGTCACAGCTCAGGCAGCCGATCCCAACCCCTGCCTTCTTTTACTCTCAAATACCTCTGACACTCACTGTCAAAGCTCATTCTAGTGAGCCACAACAGGCTCTCTCATGGAACTGCCCCTTAGTGTAAGAGAGAGGACATTAGTGAGGACCAAGGCAGTAACTGTGGCACTGACCATGGGGATATGCCGGCCTCTCAGGGCAGCGCGTAGCCTCCTGTCAATCCGCTGGAAGCTCTCCTTGGCACTGTTGGCTAGATGGTCTGCAAGACAGCAAAAAACACCAGTGTTCATGCTTCCCTCATCTCTAAACACATCTCAAACACACGCCCTGCACCACTTCAGGAGTGACACCCCTCTGGAAGCACACGTATGAGGCAGAGAGGTTACTCAGTTCCAAATCTGTCAACACGACAGTTCTCAACAGTAATCCAGCGCATTGGAATGACCTCTCAACGTGAAAGGTGCTATACAAATTTTGTATTGTATTAGCTATACTCAAATATGCCAATAAGAAAAGGGATTCAAATAAACAAATCACTGCCAAACACTCCTTCATACTGTTTAATGTTAGACAGAAAACAGAAAAGGAACTTCAGAAACTCCAATAAACTGGTCTGACAATGGTTTTAGAGGGTTAGACTCCAGCAGTTACCCCAACACAGACTCTGGGGTCCATCCCCAAGCCTTGGCTCTTGCCAAACAAACTGTGTCTAATACTTTCTTGAATTAGGTAAGCAGGATGCATCCCTCCGGGGGGGAGGGGGGAGGGGGGGAAAGAGAGAGAGAGAGAGCATCCTGTTCCAACAATCTATCTCTGGGATTTCCATGTGTAGGTGGGATGCATGGAATTCACAGCTTGGTTTGGATAATCGTAAGCATGGTATGTGTTAGACACCCGGCTGCCCAAAAAGAGAATGACTTACCCCCTCTCTCATCCTGAGGGTTTGAATGGACTTTCCCCTTGCTCTTCTTCTTAGCCTCTTCCTCCAGATAAAGCAGGAATTTCTCTTGCTCCTCACCAGAGCGGTTCATAAATTCATTCCAGATCTGAGAAACACAGCACAGTTCATCATCAAGCAGGGCATGCACTGGTATCAGGAAAATGAGTTAACGTTTCAGGTCGATGAGCTTTCATCAGACGAAAGGCCATCAACCTGAACCGTAAACTCATTTTCCTCTCTCCATGGATGCTGCCCGTCTTGCTAAAGGCTCCCAGCCACTTCTATTTTTATTTCAGATTTCCAACACCTGCAGTATTTTGCCTTTAGCAAACCAGTTATTGTTCACTTTCTCTCTGGAGGTCTGACAATTAGTTTGATAAATTACATTGTGTAGCTCCAAACACAAGTCGTTGGTTTAGAGATTGCTGGTCTGATTAAGAGCTGTTGCAACAGTGCTTTATACTGAACTGATCCATGGCTCCTAGGTGCAGTGGGGAGATCGTAATTTGAACATGGAATCTATGAAATGTATCTTCATTATCTTGATTTTTATTTGGATACAACAAATAAATTGTAATTATAATTGCTGGAGGCCGGCTGCCATTTGTTACCCTGTCTGAGCAGCACTTGGTGAAACTACTCTGCTAGATGTGAACATAAGAACATAAGAAATGCTAGGTGCAAAAAGACTAAAGCCCCATCTAGTTCGCCTTCCTGGAGGTCGCATTCATATGTCCCGAACTCCCTATGTACTATATCCCATAATGGTATTTCCTAAAAGAAAACTATCTAATCTGTGTTTGAAAGAATCAACATTTCCTGCTTCACCTGTCTCCCTAAGGAGCCTGTTCCACAGGTTCACTATTCGCTCACTGAAACAGTGTTTGTGTATATTCGTTCTGAATTTACCCCCTTCAATCGCAGGCCGTATCCTCTGGTTCTACTATTCTGGACAAGTTGAAACACCCTGTCACGTGCTGTGTGTTTAGCATCAGTTTAAGCCACACACAAAGTCTGTACTTATATTGTCACAATCTCTTTTCCAGTTATTTTGTTTTATTTCTTGTCAGGTTTTTAATGTCTGCTTTTTCTTTCTGCAGGTGGTAAGGAAAGAAGGACAGTGAATTCTCAGTTTAGCGAAGATCAAGTTGCTTCCGCTGTTGCCCCTCCCTGTGTTTCAGGAGATATCCTTGTGTAATTACTCAGCCTCACCTTCAAGGCCCTCCAGGGTCTTGCCCCCTCTTACCTCTCCGACCTTTATCAACCTGTCCGATCCCTCCGCTCAGCAGGCTCTGGCCTGTTCCATGTCCCTCACCCGATCTTTCCCCACCATCGGCGGTCGGGCCTTCAGCCTCTCTGCCCCCTCCCTCTGGAACTTCATCCCACATTCCCATCACCTCGCTCCCTCCCTTGCAAAGCTTTACAAATGTAATTTTGTATTATATTGTACTCACACTGCCCTTCATTTCCAAACATTATCATCACACTGCTCATTGTTAGACCACACCCTCCCCTCCAGCTCAGTTACCTGCCATTCCACTACCACTGCATATGGTTGTTCCTGTTAGCTCACTCCTGCTTTCGCCTTTCTGTATTTCTTTCTGTTCTGTTCGAGCAATTTTGACTTATTCGTGTTCTTTCTTTTATTTCATTTTATTTCAGCGCCTTGGGACATCCTCCCAACGTGAGAAGCGCTATACAAATGTAATCCTGTTGTTGTTTATTCCAAGTCAACAACAACTTGCATTTATATTGTGCTCTTCACACGAGGTAGCGTCCTTTCACTCATTTGTTGTTTCTATTCAACACTGTTCTCTGTACTCACATCCAGCTCCTGAGTTCCCCCTATCACTCCTCACCCAATGGCGTTGCTCTGCCATGTCCGTCACTGGAGAAGGTGTTACCTGGAGTCCAGGTTCATGAACACGTGGAATCCACCTTGATTGGTTTGTAGAGAGTTAACCAGCTACTGCTCAAGCTCCGCACCTCCAACTGGTGGAATCATCACTAAAGTGAGTAGGGATGGATTTCCACCTGAGCTGCGGACAGGAAGATGGTGGCAATGCTCTCACATAATTCATGCTGAGCTGCGCCGCCCACCTGGAAGCTTGCAGGGAGTTCTAGTACCTGCTTTCCACCTAGTGACGGCTTGTCAGATCATAGAATCATAGAATTATACAGCACAGAAGGAGTCCATTTGGTCCATCGTGTCCGTGCTGCCTCTTTGAAAAGACTTATCCAATTGAATCCCACTCCCCCGCGCTCTCCCCATAATCCTGCAAACTTGTCCTCTCCAAATAATTATCTACTTCACTCTTAAAAGTTGTTATCGAATCGGTTTCCACCAGCCTTTTGGGCAGCTAATGACTACTGTCCTCGGGGGGGGGGGGGGGAAGCAGGTCTCCATGGAGCTGTGTTGGATTGGCAACAAAATGTCAGAATCAAATCAACCCTTAGTTTCCACAAAATACATAATCACTGAAAACCTTACAATAAATCCTGTGAAGTGCTTTGAAGCATTCCCGACGTAAGACACGATAAGAAGCAAGGATAATGGTTATTATTATAGCCCTCTGTGGCAGTTCGGTTCCTGTACCAAGGTCCTCAGTATTCCAGGCCCCTGCTAATGTGTTGGGTGACATACATATACGGAACTCTCATTATGCTTTACTCTTAAAAATGGTGAAGGTTTCTGCACGTGTCAAACACAAGGCTGACAAAACAAAGGGTCAATCAGCACCTTAAAACACCTGATCAGACAGAAGTTCAGGTGTGAAACAAAAACAGACAGAGCTGGGAAAACGCAGCAGATCAGGCAGCATCTATGGAGAAAGGAAAGTGAGTCAACGTTTTGGGTCCACGAGTCTTCGATAGAACCTGGCGCATGTTGGGAGAGAGAGGTTTTAAAGGACAAGTTGAGAGGGGGAGGCAGGACAAGGAAGACAAAAAAGAAGACAAAAGAGAGAATGTGTTCGTCCACATTCGCTCCTTTGTGTTCTTTTTNGTGCTCTTTCTCAATAGATACTGCCTGACCTGCTGAGATTTCCCAACTCTCTCTGTTTTTGTTTCAGATTTTCAGCACCTGCAGTATTTTGTGTTTTGTAGGAGTTCAGGTGTGACCTTCCTCTGGTACCTGGTGATGTGCCAGGGGATCAGACTGGAATTTTAATATCCCTGACTGCCCGGCTCTGCTCTACATTCCAGCAATTTCTGCTTTGACTAAAGCTCCAACACACAAGTCAAGCCCAACCATTAAGGGTAAAGCGGTGTGGGATGTCCTCTAAAGCAATATAAATGTAAATTATATTATATTGTATCAAGCATACTCAGAAATACCTCAATGTAGTCATAGTTAGTACAAGCTTCTGTAAAAATGGTAGGGGAGGCTGAGGTAGTCTGTTCTCCTTCCTCGTCCTTGCAACACTCATCTTTCTCCACCAGGTTCATCAAGTAGTGAGCTGCAAACAAACAGCAATATCAGCACATAAGAAATGAGTCAAAATATAAATACAACGTCAGAGCTGGTATGACTTAACTTCTCAAAAGCAGAAGTCACTGAGAACACTCGGCAGGTCACACCTTTTCTCTCTCTGACCTGTCTGTTTTGTTGCAATTCCCTCCACCATGTGGAGTCCTATAGCTCAGTGGTTAGAGCACTCGCTTTGCAAGTGAGAGACCTGAGTTCAATTCCAGGCAGAGGGCGAAACCTTGGGCAAGTTTCCTTACTCCACACAGAGCCTAATAATAATCCCTCCAAAACAAAACAATATTAAACTGTCATTTTCAATCCACGACTGTTTGTGGGACATTGCTGTGTGCAATTTGCTGTTGCGTTTCGCCCACAAATATACAGTCAATTTACTTTACAGTCTATTCTGTGAAGCACTTTGAGTCGTCGAGAAGACATGAAAAACGCTATATCAAATGCAAGGATTATTATTATTATTACTTTGTTTTTCATCATTAACACCCATCATCCCTTCTCTACCCCATTTTCTTCTTTGTTTTGCTTGCCCTGCAGGCGTCCCCCATCTCTGTTAGTTAAAAGCTTCTCCCTCCCAACGTGCCCCTGCTCTGACGAAGGGTCGTGGACCCGAAACGTTGATTCACTTTCCTCTCTCCATGGATGCTGCCTGACCAGCTGAGTGTTCCCCACGATTCCTGCTTTTGTTGCAGATTTCCAGCAACTGCAGTATTTTGTGTTTTGACTTAACTTCTCAGTTGCGCAACCACGAGGAGGTTGCTTTGTAATGTGGCAACACTTCTGCATTAAATTACACAAGACTTCTCTCCCACAAAAGTTTGTAACTCATCTTAACTCACAATGTCAGTGTGACAACAACTTGCATTTATACAGTGCCCTTCATGTGGGGCAGCAACTTGGAGCACTTAACAGTGGCTGAGCCTGATGTCGAGCCAGGACAGGTCATAGGCAGAGAGTGACAGAGGTTCAGAGTGCAATGTCTGAAATCTTGGCTGCCGATGGCGGAGCGGAGGGGTTGAGGGATGTACAGAGGTTAAAAACATGTCAAATGCATTTATTTATGATCCAAAATGTTGGGGAACAAAGGCCGTTAGAACCTGACACCCACCATCTCTTTCTTCTGTGAACAAGAAAAGTACATATTTAAACGACCATTATCGCTCAGTGTTCATACTGGTTTAAGAGATGGCAACGGTTCATTTGGCAGCTTACAGCTTTGAAGTTTTATTAAATGCGTTTTCAGCTGCGAGCAATCGAAAGTAGGTCCTTCAGATCACCCCCTGTGTCTAAACTAATGGCAATGAGGTTTCTGAAGGAATACTAGATGACCAAATGCAATCTGTAGCCAGCAAAAACTACAAAGCCCTGACCTTTCCGTACAATATCAGAATCCAGGGCAGTAAGCCTGGCTTGTGGAAACTCAGTGTAGAATGTTTCCTCTGTTACTTACTGTTCTCAAGTCTTCTCAGACTTTTTTTCCCTTTTGCCTTGGGAGTGAGATCGGAGTTTCGAATGGCTTGATTAATGTAATACTGCTTGCGTTTTGCTGGCGATATTCGCTTGGAAGGCGAGTTGTGCAGTGGGGGAAAGCAATCCTCAATCAAGCTGTGAAGGTACAAACCAATGGAAATCCCAGTTACAATATGTTGCGGCCCAGTAAATGCAAACACGTCGGTGATAATAATCCTTGCATTCGACAAAGCGCCTTTGTCAAAATGTCAAAATGTTGCAACTGCTTGGTGAATAATTGCTTCTTTCTATTTGAATACACTCCAACCTTTTAAAACTAGGACATTTCTCTCTCTCTGCATGGCCTGGGTCAGTACATCGCCCTATAGAAGGTACTGAATTAGCTGATCTGAATACAGCGGCAGACAGAGGCACCCCAGGGATTGGGAAAGAAAAATCAACCAGGGTTCAACTCCTGATCAACACCCACTGACCGCCACCACCCCTTGGAAAGTGCTTTGATTTGTGAGGACGTGATGCGGACCCTATCAGCTAACTAGGATTAAATCAACTACATGAAGTAAATCTAACTAAATATCAAACCAAACACTGAATGCTGACCCTCTGCTACAAGATAATCCTTGCATTTGATATAGGCCCTTAACACTTCATTGAAATGTCTCAAAGGGCTTCACAGAATATACTGTAAAGTGAATTGAATGTATATTTTGTGGGCAAAACTCAACAGCAGCATCCCACAAACAGTCGTGGATTGAGTGACCAAATTATTTATTTTTTTGTTCCGTAAAGGGCAACTCTAATAAAACTAAATTGTTTTAAATTATATGGCGTTATTAATATTGGTTATTGACAGTATTACACTGGTGAGAGACAGTAGGTCACATCACTAAATATAACCGAGTGACCTATACAGAGGAGAGCGACCTATTTATAACCAATGTTGAAAATGACTTCAATAAAATTCGAAGGATTACTGAAGCAATGATTAGACAAGTGACTCAATCCTGTGAGAAGACGACTCAAAGGGGACTTCATAGCGGTGTATAACATTTGTAATGGGATTGAAAAAGTAAACTAAGATCAAAACTTTAGAATGCAATAAGAAAGTAGAACAAAAAGACAAAGGTTTACAGTTGTAAAGGGCAATTTCAGGACAGATACCGGGAAGTTTTTCTTTACCCAGAGGGTAATTAAAGATTCAAACAGGTTGCCAGGAAACCTGGTAGAGTTCATGACACTGGACTCATTTAAAAAGCAGCTCGATGCTATGATGGGAGGACGGTAGGTTGGTGTTCTGGAGAGATGAGATCAGATGCATTGAAAGGATTTCTTTACCCAGACTAATTTTGTGACTGAATAAACTGATCTCACATGTACATTTAGTCATATATATATATACACATAGTGCTATATCAAATGCAAGGATTATTATTATGATGCTCCTAAAACCAGAACTAATATGTGCTTACAGTAAATTGTATTAAACAGCACACAGCAACAAGAAGATTACATTTGTATAGCGCCTTTCAAGTCGGGAGGACATCCCAAGGCGTTGGACACTGTACAGCATTTCAGATCCGAGCTGGGGTCGTGGGGGGGGGGAAGAAGGGAAGGGAGGGGAAGGGGGATGTCCAATGGCATGGTCAAAGAGGAGGGTTTTGAGCCGGGACTTGAAAGAGGCTAAGGAGGGGGCAAGGCAGAGTGATTGGGGGATGGAATTGCAGAGGTTGGGGGCAGAGTGCGAAAGGCTCTCCCACCAATGATGCCAAAAGATAGAAGAGAGTGAATTTTGCACAACAAGAGATATACAGAATAGAGTCCAAGTGACTGGATTTGAAAGAGCACACACCACAAAAAACAGGAAGAGTGAAGTTTGCTTGGTCTTGGGACGTTTGTGCTGCTGTGTGTGCACGGGGAGTGTTGGGATGGCGGCAGCGCTGCTGGGGGGAAATGGGCTTCGCCCCCTGAGGAGTGACTGTGGACCCGCCCAGAGGAGCTGCCACTTAGATTGTCTGTGTGTGATTTTGTGTCTCTCTTTGGGTGTCCGTTTCTGTGTCCGGCGGCCACCCCAAGAGGAAGAGGTGTATGTGTCTCTGTGTTTGTGAACGTGTGTGTCTCTCTCTCTCTTTCTGTGTGTCTTTCAATGAGTGTTTGTGTGTGTCTCTCTCTGGGTGGGCCACCCAGATTTTGTTAAAGAAAGCATTAATAAATAGGGTTTCTTTTGCAACAATCTAGGAGGTGTTATTTCTTCACATTTAGTTTCTACTAATAAAGTGAAAAAAGTAGTTCAAAGTAAAACATGCCTCTCAATAGCATCAATCAACTCCCCACAATTTTCCCCAAAGACCCGCAAATTAAATTTCCCCGCAATTTTGGGCAAGTATTTCCGCAATTACCTATTGGCCCTGAACATGTTGACCCAACAAATTTGCATTTATACATCACCGTTCATAAGGGGGTCACGTCTCTGAGCTCTTGACAATGGCTTCCCATCACACAGAGGATACAGTTCAAGATCCTGGTCCTCACCTTCGAAGACCTCTATGGCTTTCCTCCCCCCGACCTCTGTGACCTCCTAACCCCCCACCAACCTGCTCGCTCCCTCCACTCAGCGAGCTCTGACCTGCTTCACGTCCCCCGCCTTACTCGCCCCACTATTGGGGGCGGGCCTTCCGTCACTCTGCCCCCACCCTCTGGAACTCCACCCCTTGTCCCTCCGTCTCGCCCCCTCCCTCGCCCCCTCCGGACCCCACCTCAAGACCCTCCTCTGCGCCCGTGCTTTCGATGTCCCCGCTTCCCCCCCTGCCCCCCCCCACCCTGACCCCCAGCTCGGGTCCATAACTCTGTCTGTCCAGCGACTTGGGACGTCCTCCCGATGTGAAAGGCGCTTTACACGTGTCATTGTGTTGTTGTTGTTATTGTTATTGTTGGCGCCGCGGAGAAAGGGGCGGAGACCTCCCCCACCACCTCGGCCTCAAGACCCGCCTCTCCCCCCCCTCCTGCCCGGGGAGACTCGCTGATTGGCCGCGGGAGCCGTCACTCAGCCGCCAGGCCACGGGTGGCCGTTGCGGCATTGTGCCTTCCGGATATGAAGGGCGGCGGCGGGGCTGGGGGGGGGTGCGCGCCTCCCCTCCCCTGACTCACAGGCAACCGTTGTCCGGTTCGGGCTCGAGCTCCCCGGCGCCGCGGGCGATCACCATGGCGGGTGGGACGGTTTCCTCGGAGCGAGCGAGCGCGAGCGCGGACAGGGAGCGGCGGCCCCGCCTTTGAGCGCGTGACGTCACGCGCAGCGCTGGCGGTCACGTGGCTCTGGCCGCGGCAACGGTTGTTTTTTCGGCGCCAAGTTGGACACAAGCCCCGCCCACTGGGGCCCGGCCGGGAGGTCACGGTGAGGCCGCGGCTGTGGGCTGTCAGGTACCCACACACACAGTCTGTGTTCGCCCATAAATACACATCCAATTCACTTTACAGTGTGTCCTGGGAAGCGCTTTGAGGCGTCTCGAAGATGTGTTGAGGTGCTGTACCAAATGCCAGGATTATTATTATTATTATAACGCTCAGTCTGTAAATTCCAGCTGTTGTCTTGTCTGTCGCCCACGGGCTGTAACATGGCGGCTGCAGCTTATGACCTCCAGTCCAGTGCGTCACTAAAAGGGTTACTGCACATTATCTCAAGAGACAGATGTGATTGAACATCTCAGGAAGCGTCACACCCAAAGCGCTGCCCTATCTGCCCTTCACACACTATTCCATCTTTCAGCATCGGGTTATTCCCGTTCTCTTCTTTGACGAATTGTGGACTCCTCCCAACAGAGACTGACATGTCCTCCACTGCTACCTCAGAGCAGGAGTTTGTCACGGGCCCAACCCCTTGTTTTCTGTGCCTGTCTGTTGTTTAAAATATGTTCAGTAAAGTTCATGTGTTTGCTAAAAGCATTAGTCAGCGTGAGTTCAGTTAGTATTTACCCATTGCGCTCAGGGAAACTCAGAAAATGTCTAAGCTCATGAGAACTGCCACGTGTGTGTTATAAATAATATCGAGTACAACAACAAGAAGATTACATTTGTATAGCGCCTTTCACGTCGGGAGGACGTCCCAAGGCGCTGAGTAGCCCTTTAAATACTTTTTTTAAAATATATTTTTTAAATGCATTTAAGTTTGTTTTTGATACTTGTGATGCCTTGAAGTCTGATTAGCGTCAATTGAACAATTTGGTGGGTAAGTTACTATCTACTATTTGCATAAGTGGATAGGAAGGTGCACCGTTTCCCTATTGGGTCACTTAAAGGATGATTTTGTTTGGACCATAAGAAAGGCACCAATAAATTCAATATGTATTACCCTAATTCGGATAAGGACTCGATGTCCATAAAAGAACGAGTGCCATGTGCTCGGTGTCACTTTTTTCTAGTTGATAACAACAAAAGACTCGTGCTCTTGACAATTAATGAGTAGTAGTCAGAGGTTGGTTTTTTGTGCACTTTACATTAACTTCATTATAAGTGACTGCTGGCATGTGTATTTTAAGTGTGATTAATGTTTATTAACTCATATCATGTTGCTTAACATGTAATGCCGAGGGTTGTGGATTTCATCGAAACTACAATAAAATTCTGTTGCGTTTACTTAACCGTGCTTTCTCGAGGTTTCTGTATAAATCAAAGAATGAGGGAATACATAAACAGGTTCAGCCTAGGTCACAGAGCTGTAAAATAAACCTCTGATTGACTGAAGTTTCCCAATATGCTTTAATTTCGATAGCAAGTGGTAGTATCTGTCGTCATGGAAGAACTCATGAGTCAAGTTACACCTAGTTATAGGGACTTGCATTCATTACTGAGGATTGAACACGGAGGCCATCAGCACACTCCGCGAGGGGGAAGCGAGCCATATCGTGGGTGTACATATAGGGGTGCAGAACTATCTCAAGTTCAGGAATTGGCTATCCTCTGGCACCTCACCATTCTTCACTGTATTTGACTTTAGACAGTGGAGATTTGTAAGATATAATAATAATCCTTGCATCTGATACAACATCTTATCACATCAAAACGTCCCAAAGCGCTTCACAGAGTTTTTATAGAGGGTGAAGAGGAGGGGATGAGGACAGAGCCCTGAGGGACACCGCACGAGACAGTGCGGGGGGTGGAGGAAAAGCCGTTTGTGGAAACAAAATGAAGACGGTGGGAGAGGTACGACCTAAACCACTCAAGGACAGGGCCTTGAAGGTTGAGGTGGGAGGACAAGCGGTGGAGGAGGATAGCGTGGTCGACCATATTGAATGCTACCGATAGGTCGAGGAGGATGAGGCAGAGGGAGCCCTGGTCACAGATGGTCAGGATGTCATTGGTGACCTTGACCAGGGTGGTTTCTGTGCTATCGGCAGCACGGAAACCCGACTGAAGGGGTTCGAATAATGAATGGGTGGAGAGGAAAGAGCGCAGCTGGGAGGCGACAACTCGTTCAAGGACCTTGGATAGGAAGGGGAGGTTGGAGATGGGCCGGTAGCTTGATAGCTGCGACGCATCAAGGGAGGGTTTTTTCAAGGTGGGAGTGATGGTGGCAGTTTTTAAGGGAATGGGAATAGAGCCAGAGGAGAGGGACAGGTTGACGATGTCTGTGATATGTGGGGCAAGGAGGTGGAGCTGGGAGATAAGGAGTGGAGTGGGGATGGGGTCAAGGGAGCAGGTGGTGGGTTTCAGAGATAGGATGAGTTTGGTGACAGAGGGTGGGGAAACGGGTACAAAAGTGTGTAGGGGAGGATGGGTAGGAGTCGGAGTGTGGGAGGGAGGGGGTGGGTGGATGTTGGAGGGGAAGTGACCGCGGAGCGGATTCCCTTGATTTTGGATTCAAGGAAATCCAGCATCTCCTCACAGTGAAGGTTGGAGGAGATGACCTGCGCGGGGTGGCGGGGGGGACGGAGGAGTCGGGATGAGGTAGAAAACAGAAGCCTGGGGTTGTTCTTCGCCTCCAGGATTATGTCGGTGGACCGTTAGGCCAGATTTGACGCAGGTGCGTTCAGCGGCCCACACCTGGCTCTTCAGTGAGCGGAGGTGGGTGGTGAACCAGGGGGAGGAGCGAGAGTAGGAGACAGTACGGGAGGTGATGGGGGCAAGAGTGTTGAGTGTGGAGGACAGGGTGTTGAGGAGGGTGAGAGGAGAAGAAGGGTCAGTGAGGGTTGAAGGCCAGAGGGAGAGGAGTTCAGAGGACTCCAAGGCAGCGGTTAGGGATTGTGGGGGTAACTTCTTCCAGGGGCGGTAGAAGATGGTAGTGGGTCTGGTGGAGGTGGGGAGGGGGGTGGAGGTGGTGAAGGAGATGAAGTGGTGATCAGAGACGACCTTGTCGGTGATAGTGACATCCGAGACACTGAGGCCCCGGGTGATCACTAAGTCGAGTGGGTGGCCGTGACTGTGAGTGGGGGAGTTGATGTGGAGGGAGAGGTTGAGCGAGGAGAGGAGGGAGGAGAAGTCTGAAGAGATGGAGCAGGAGGGGGTGAAGTGCAGGTTGAAGTCGCCCAGGATGATGAGGCGATCAGAGCAGAGGCAGAGAGATGTAAGAAGTGTTGAAATATCGGAGATGAAGGTGGGAGAGGTTTTAAAGGGCCGAGGTGGGAGGTGTAGCCGGGTGGTGTGGCCTCCGTGAGGGGGAAGGTGTCGCCTGGGGTGGGCCAGGTTTCCGTTAAGGCCATGATGTCAACGCTCTCATCAAGGATGAGATAGTTGATGACCAGGGCCTTGTTACAGAGGGAGCAGACGTTTTGTAGTCCGATGTGGAGCAGTTGATAGAAGGGTGTGTGGGAGGGGAGGGGGGTCCAGGTTGTGAGGCAGGGGTGGGGGAAATGGGGATGAGGGAGGAGAGGTTGACTCCCCGGGTCTGTGTCCGGGGTGGCTGGTGAGTGTGGTGGGGAATGGAGCAGTTGGTGTGGCTGCTGCTGGACAGCCAATGCCGAGTGCCACGGTGAGCCCGGCGGAGGATTCCCAGACTGGAACAGAGGGAGGTTGTGGGAGGTCAAGTGGGGATAGAAGGCGAGAGGGACAGAGAGAGAGGAGGACAAATCGGGAGAGATGCAGAGGGGGGAGGGTTTGGGGGTAGAGAGGAGGGAGGAGGGGGTGAGGGGGCTCGGGTCAAAACGGTAGCCATAGTGCGCACGCGGGGACCGGGAGCGAGCGGTCAGGTGGATGGCATTATCCCATAGGCTGGGGCAGCCAACCCAACAGGACCATAGTGGGCTCTGACAACGTGATAAGAGGTTAAGAACTTTGGAACGCCAACCCACGTGAAATCGCTACATAAATGCAAGTTAATGTTGTATATTAACAACAACAAGATTCCATTTATTGAGCGCCTTTCACGTCGGGAGGACGTCCCAATGCGCTGTACATTTGGGTCAGGACCCGAGCATTGGGGAAATGGTCAGGGTGAGGGGAGGGAAGGGAGGGAGCGAGGAGGGGGTAGAGAGTCGAGAGGGGAGCTGAAGGCACGGTCAAAGAGAAAGGTCTTGAGACCGGCCTTGAAGGAGGAAAGGGAGGAAGCGGCGAAGGCACTGGGGGATAGAGTTCCAGAGCCTCGGGGCTGAGAGGCTGAAGGCCCGGCCACCGATGGTAGGGCGGTTGGGGCGGGGGATGTGGAGCAGACCGGAGCCAGAGGAACGGAGGGTACGGGCAGGTAGGTAGGGGGATAGTAGGTCGGAGAGGTAGGAGGGAGTGAGGCCGTGAATGGCCTTGTAGGTGAGGATGAGGATCTTGAATTCGATCCTCTGGGGGATGGGGAGCCAGTGGAGGCGAGCGAGGGTGGGAGTGATGTGGGCGCGAAGCCTGGTGCGGGACAGTACACGAGCTGCAGAGTTCTGAATGACCTGCAGTGTGGAGGGAGGGCCGGGAAGGCCGGCGAGGAGAGAGTTCCCATAGTCCAGCCTTGAGGTGATAAAGGCGTGGACCAGAGTTTCAGCCGCGTGAGGGGTGAGGTAGTGCCGTAGTCTGGCGACATTCCGGAGGTGATGGAAGGCGGTGCCAGTTGTGGCGCGGATATGGGGGAGAAAGGACAGCTCAGGGTCGAACAGAGCCCCGAGGTTCCTGATGGCTTTGAGAGGTGGAGAGTGCAGCCTTGGATGCTGATGCTGTCAGCGCCTGAGGTGCGGAGGCGCTGACGTGAGCCAATCAGGAGGGCCTCAGTTTTTCGCACGTTGAGCTGAAGAAAGTTATCTCTCGTCCAGGACTCGATGTCGGACAGGCAGCTGTCAGGACATCGGTGGTCGTGGAGTTGAGG